GAGCAGGGTGATTGAGTTAAATGAGAAAGATCAAGGTTCAAAGTTGAGCGTGGGCGACAGGCTTGGACGATAATGCTTATTCCCTCGACGCATCTTCGATTTGCATACCTTTTCTCTTTTTATCTTTGTGATGTTGCTTCTTCCTAGTGTCTCTTCTTTTGACTTTTGTGTTCTTGTGTTAGCATCTAGTATTGGTTCATGATATAAAATTGTTAGGTCCTTTATATGACTTCATGGTTTTGTGTTGAAATAATGTGGACATTGCCTCATTTTAAGTGTTTGGGAGTTTACTTGGATTTTGCATGCTTATGTGGTGGACCGGTCTAGTTTTTAGGTTTTTGTGTTGTTGAGCATGTGGTATTGGTGAATTACATGATTTGTTGATGAATGTTTGATATAATTGGGAAGTTATGATGACGGACGTGTTGGTCATTGCCTCAATATGTGCTTGATTGCTTTGAGTGACATTTATTGCCTTGTGAGGTTTTGATCCTTACTCTTCTTTCTTGTGAGATATTGGTCATATTCTTGAATGATTAGAACTTGCCTTGAGTTTGTTTGAAAGAAATCGATTAGAGTTTTGCGAATATGATTGAGGTGTTTTGTTTGAAATAGCTCTCTTTAGCCTTGTTCTTTGATCCTAAAAAGAATTTCCACTAGTAGCCCGTTTGAGCTTTGAGCCTTTTTCTTGTCAGACGTACCTGAAATCATTTTTTTTGACTATTTGGTGATGACTGATGAAAATGGTGTCGTTGTTGAATGAGGTGAATAGGAGTTGGATTTCTATTGCTTGACCTATATATAAAAAAAAAAGAAAAACATGAGAGCTCACAGGACGAATCGAATGTATTTTGCTCCTCTTACTTGTCGATTTATGTTAACGGGTAATGAGCATTGAAAAACTATTGTAGGATACTTGGATGACCTTCAATGTTCACACCTACAGAAATTTTTCCTTTTGATTTGATCTTGTTCGAAAAAGTATCTCTCTAATAAAAAATATAAAAAACAAATAAAAAATAGAAAATAAAATGGGTCAAGTAATGTTGCAATTCAATTAGAGCAATTAAGTGTTGTTTGTGGAGTTGTTTGGTAGACGGTATATGTGCTATCTTGTTGGTTTGGAGGAGTAGCAGACATTTGAGTAATCTATTACTCGAAAACGTTGATTGTTTATTTGAGCTTCTTGTCCATATATATCTGTACTTTTGCCTAAGCCCACATTACAACCTGTGAAGTCCTCTTGATTCGCAAGTTTTGAGCTTGATTATTTTCGAGTAATTTAAACGATTGGCAAGCATATGTTGAAACATGAATATTGACAAATCTGAGCGAACCTATCATATATTTATGTAAGAAAATGAGTGAGACATGTATGGTAATCGATGTTTTGAGAGTTTGTCATTTCAAGGCCAAGTTGATATTTGAGGCATACCATCATATGGTCGTTGGATTCGACCTAGCTGAATTGGACATTTTGAAACTCTTCTTATTTGAAACGGTATCTATGTCCTGTCTTGTTTTCTTTTCTTTTTGTTCGGGGCAAACAAAAGTTCAAGTGTGGGGGAGTTGTTTGTCCCATTTTTGTTGCATTTTTCGTTGTTATTTTGCCTTTATTTTCCCCCGTTTTAGGTCGTTTATTTAGTTTTTAGTTGTTTATGTAGTTTATTGCATGTTTATTTCATTTTGAGTGTTTCCGTGTTTTCTTTCGTTCTTTTTTTCGGTTTTCTCCGTTTTCCTTCTTATTTTTGGTGCGTAGGTCAGAAGCTTCGAAAGGGTAGGATCTCAAGAGAAAGTTGGTTTTGCAAGCATAATTAACAAAAAGGGTTCGTTGGCGACAAGTGAAAAAAAAAAGGAACTCAATTCCGAGTTTGGACGAGCTCAAACGAGCCAAAAAACGCGAAGTCGCGCAATCCAGATCTTAGCGACGCTAGTACCTGCTCGACCAGATTTTTATAACTATCGATTTTGCTCGAATTTTCAAACACCATTCATTGGGATTCGTTCCCAGACCTAAAATAACACTCTAAACTCGTTTTTCTTCACATTTTCACCTCAAAACACAAACATTGATCTGGGTTTTCACGTTGATTTCTTTATTGCTTTCGGATTAACTTGTATCTCGGATTCAACTTTCAATTCCATCTTAATCGTAAGTTTTTCTATTCATTTAATCCATGAATATGATTGCTTTGATTGTTGTGATAGATTTGGTTGAATTCAATATGAGTAACTAATCCAATTTGCTAGGGACAAGGGATGATATTTTGGATTCAATTGTGATTGTCGTGCTTGTTGAATCGTTCAATTTTTGCAAGTTAATTTCAAACTAGGGTTCTTGATTTTCATGCTTAAATGTTGATTATTATTGAAGAGTGACACCTCAATTTACGATTGGTTTACAATTGAATATGATTTATTCTCGTGTGTTGTTTTCATTCCTAATAGACTAGTCGATTAACCATCTTTTAAACCGTCTTAGTTGACTCTTAGAACCGAAAGGGGAGGAGTCGATCGATACAGGCTCGCATAAAATAGGTTTGTTCATAAATGTATTGTCTATGTGTTAAATGACTCGTTAATTTATCGTTCACGTTTATCCTCTTGTTACGAAAAGTTATTAAGGATAAATCTCTGAAGGAGTATGTTATTCGAATCTTTTAACCGAACGATTACTCGCCCGTCAATTGCATCTCGAACCAAAACAATATTCCTCGACTCCCTAGATTCCTTATCACTATTGATTCCATGTTTTTGAGTTGATTTTTGTTTTTTCATTGTTTGATATTTCTTAGTTGATAATCATACCTCATTCTCGAATTAGAGTGTTAGGTCATATTTTGCTTTTATGTGCGATCGACACCAGATTGGAGAAATTGAATTTCCTAATTTCTGAAAAGGCCAAATGGGGCAGCCATTGGTTCATAGGAGGAGACTGGAATGACTTGACAAATCAGAGAGATAAAAATGATGGTAAACTTAGAATAGAATCTTCATTCTCAGCTTTCAAAGACTTTATCAGTCACATGGAGACGCATGAACTGGACATGATTGGGCTCCCCTTCACCTGAGGTAACAATAGAAAGGAGGAGGGATTTGTAGAAGAAAGACTAGACAGGGTCTTTACTTCCCTGGATTGGCTTACTTCTTACCCTCAAGTAAGGGTCCTCAATACATTTAGGAGTTCTTCAGATCATGAACTTCTGACCTTAATCCCAAGACATACGACTCATAACGAGAAAGAAACATAGTGATCAGGGACACTTACCTTCTGTCATTCTTCCTTGGAGCGAGAAATAGACCCACGGGGATTGTCTCGAAAATTGTGAAAGGGGAATCTCCGATGCTCTGTTGTACCAACTGATTCTTCGGTGATCACGTTCCAAAAAGATTAGGGATCGCTGGAATCTGCGCTCGAAGGAGTCGTGAAAAGAGTCTGGAGGGATTTGAGGATCGAGGGAAGACCTAGAGATGTCTCGTTGATGGCCGACTGGTTAAAAAAACTGTTGGGACCAGTTAAGATCTCAAATATTATGCAAGTCACCCACTATCTACGAATTAAACCCTAAACACAGTAGAACTAGAAACGAGAGTTCAACGCGTACCCTTTTAAATTTTGCCGACTCTGAGAATTTTCTGATACCCGTTGTTGGAAATCGTCTGAGTCCGTTGAGCAGTCGGACTAGCCTCGCCATCACCACCGGATTGCTCACCGTCCAAGTCGGATCATACCGGACCTCCATTGACTTGGTCAAACCTCTCGGGACTCGATTTGAACTGCAAACGAGTGTTGGAGGCTAGCTGAACCGGTCTGGAGTGCTCTTAGACCGCCTGGGCAGGTCTGGTGCAGGCCTCGTGGGGCACGCGGGTGCTGGAGGTTTGAGGGGTGCGGGCCGCACGGCCCACCTGCTGTTTCTCCTGTTGGACTGCCTCCCACATTGGGCCTCCGGGTATTGGGCCTTGGACGCGAGCACTGGGCCACGCGAAGTGGGCTGCGGACGTGCCTCCTCGTACACCTAGGCTTCGCGCGACTTCTGTGCTTCCTCTTCCAGCGGGCTGGAACGCTTGGGCCACGCGAAAATCACCAGTGAGCTGGGCTGCAACTCCAGCGGCTGCTGGGCGCGCCTGTGTACGCCGGCGCCTTGCCAGAGCTCGCCTGCCCGGCCGCCGTACCGGTGGTCGTCGGAATCGGACCGGAGGGTTGCCAGAAAGTGTCGATCGCCATGGAATGCTTACCATATCCTTTTTTTTTTTTTCAAAAACTGATCTAAAAAACATATTGCATAAAATAGGAAATGTAGTTAATTACGCAATAAAAATAAGTATATTGTTTTGAAAATTGAACAGATTATTAAAATTTGAACTGATTTTTAATAAATTGTAAGTAAAAAAGTTTTATTCGAAAAAACCAACTTTCCACCACTAATTATTCCATCAACCTATTTCAAGTTTCAACCTATATATATATATATATATATATATATATATATATATATAATTACTGACTCATGAACATTTAAGAAAACCTATTAAATTATACCTATGTGGCAATATAACTTTTCCCTCAAAAAACCGTTACTTTTTAATTGTTTAACCTCTCATTTAGTTATTAGATAATCAACACATTAATTACTTCAAAATTAAAAGAATCATTTTAAACTTTTGATTTACTTACAGTTGACCATATAATGTGTTGACTATTTAACGTGATTAGATGTTATTGTTGTGGTTATATTTAAATTAACTTATTTTGAAAAATAAAAAACGTATTTGAAATTCCTAAATAAATAATAAATAATTCACAAAAAAATACATACCAAAATATACACTACATACTACATCCAATATGATAAACGCAATTTAAAAAAATATTTCAACTCCTTAAATTGTAAATGTGGCATGCAAAAAGTGCAAGAAAAATTATTAATAATTATATACATACAAATAACTCACAATACTTTATTTATATCTGTGCAAATGCACAAGTCGAATACTAGTTGATGTTGGATCCTAGTGATGCGAATGAGGGCCGCCAGCTGAAGAACGCGTACAACCGGGCTCGTCGAGCTAAAATGAAGTTGCAGCAGAATTCTGCAATTCCAGGGGTTAGTGGCGCTAAGGGTCCTTAGCGCCGCTAAGGTTGGGATAGCGGCGCTATCTCCGGACAGAGAGTTTACGTTGTACTGCATAGAGGCCAGTAAGAGAACCTTAGCGGCGCTAAGGGACCTTAGCGCCGCTAACCACCCAGCAGGAGCAGTTTTTAATTTCAGTTTTCTTTTTAATTTCTAGTGGGTTTGGGTAGTTAGTAGGATCGTTTTTATGGTGTTTTTCTGACATTTTCAGACTATCTATTGTATTATTATCAAGTTCTTAAGAAAAGCTTGTTTCCAAGCATCAAATCGTGTCATAATCGGGTGCGTTCATTCGGGTTTTGATACACTTTTATTATTCGATACACGATTCATAACATTGGTGCTTTCATTGAGAGTTACTAATCGTGTATCATGGCAACTAATCGAGAGAGGATGGATCATATGGAGGAGAGCATGCGTGCAATGAGCGAAGAAATTCAATCTACGAATCAAACGATGGCAAGACTCGAGAGGATAATGCTCCAAACCGTTGGACGATGGGCTAGGAGGGGTAACCATTCGGAATCATCTTCCGAAGGGTCAGCCGAATCTGATGAGGATCGCAAAAACCAGAACGAATTTCCAGAGGATGAAGATGTTCGTTCAAGGGGATCAAATCACCATGGAAGACAAAGGGTCGAAAGGCCTAAGTTAATACTTCCGACATTTAATGGTACGGATCCTGATTCATGGCTAAATTATGCTTGTCAATACTTTGAGATTAATGAGATACCCAAGTCGGAAAGAGTGAAATATGCCGCTTATTATCTTGACGGAGAAGCAAATGTGTGGTGGCAATGGCTTTCGAGGGTATACAAAAAAGAGGATAAGCGGATTCGTTGGAAGAACTTTGAAAAAAAGATGATTATTCGCTTTGGTGTGTCGGATTATCACAACTATAATGAAGCTCTGTCACATATCAAGCAAACGGGAAGCTTAAGGGAATACCAAAAGGAATTCGAGAGAATTGTAAGTCGAGTTCGCGATTGGCCGGAAGGAGCACTTGTCGGTACATTCATTGGTGGGTTGAAACCCGAATTGGCAGCTGAGGTGAGGCTGGACAAACCAAGAACCATGCGTGCCTCCATGGAAGCCGCTAGGATGCGTGACGATCACTTGATGGCACTACGGAGGGCCAATCGACCGGAAGTGAGGCGACCGATGACTTTCCCTTCTAATGTTCAAAGAATGGGATCCAATACATCAACTGGTAATGGAAAAGACCTTTCACCGGGGGTTAAGCGTTTGTCTTGGGAAGAGATGCAAAGACGGAGGGAGAAAGGCTTATGCTTTAATTGAGATGAGAAATTCACACCCGGTCATCGGTGCAAAGAAAGGCGATCGTTTTTCATTGAATGTGTTGAGTCCGAAGAAGATGAAGTAATGGGTGATGAAGTGATCGATCTTCACGAGGAGGACCCAGAGATATCGGTCCATGCAATGGCGGGAACTCAAGGACCCAAGACGATGAAGATGCCAGCTTGGGTTCGTGATCGACGTGTAATTGTGCTAATCGACAATGGTTCGTCTCATAATTTTATTAATTCATCATTGTCCGATAAGTTAAATTTACAGGTCACAAAAGTTGAGCCATTTGAAGAGAGGGTGGCTAATGGTGAGAGGTTGAAATGCTCGGAGTTTTATCGGGGTGTGTCGATAAAAATGCAAGGGGTCACTTTAAAGGCCGACTTGTATGCACTACCTTTGGTAGGTCCGGACGTGGTTTTGGGGGTTCAATGGTTGGAAGGATTGGGTCCGGTTACTACGGACTATAGAGTAGGAACAATGGAATTTTGTTGGGGTGATGGCATGGTTAAATTATCAACCGGAGGAAAGGAGGGGACGGAAGAGGTGAGTGCGCAAAGTTTGGAGAAATTGTGGAGGCAAGGTAGTCAAATCTTTGCCATAAGAGTCGATAAATTGGAGGGTGTTGATGAGGAACACTTTCACCAAAAGGAGATTGACGAGTTGCTTCAACAATTCGAAGAAGTGAAAGCTGATCCAAAAAATCTACCACCACGACGAGAGTTCGATCATCGTATTCCTTTGTTGGATGAAACCAAAGCGGTACATGTACATCCTTATAGGTATGCCCATTTTCAGAAAACCGAGATTGAGAAGCAAGTTCGTGAAATGCTTGAGTTGGGATTAATCCGACATAGTACGAGTCCCTTTTCTTCACCGGTACTTCTCGCCAAGAAAAAGGATGGGACGTGGAGGTTTTGTACGGATTACCGGGCTCTCAATGCGGCTACTGTAAAGGATTGTTTTCCAATCCCAAGCATTGATGACATGTTAGAAGAGTTGGCGGAATCCCGTTATTTTTCCAAATTGGATTTGCGAGCGGGTTACCATCAGATACGGGTGGCAGAAGAGGACATTCACAAGACGACATTCCGAACTCATCAAGGGCACTATGAATATTTGGTAATGCCTTTCGGTTTATGTAATGCACCATCCACTTTTCAATTTGCTATGAATTCGATATTTCAAGAGTACTTGCGAAAATTTGTGTTGGTGTTCTTCGATGATATATTGGTGTATTCGATGAATTGGGATGATCATGTGATGCATTTGAAAGTGGCATTGAATATTTTAAAGGAGAATGATTTTCAGATAAAGCCTTCGAAGTGTTCTTTTGGCAAAAAATCGGTGGAGTATTTGGGCCACATCATATCTTTTGAAGGAGTTAAGGTGGATTCCAAGAAAATTGAGGCGATGCTTGATTGGCCTAAACCAAAGAATTTGAAGGAACTTCGGGGGTTCTTGGGGCTGACCGGATATTATCGAAAATTTGTCAAAGATGTTGGATCAATTGCTAAGCCATTGACGGAGATGACGAAAAAAGGAGGGTTCAAATGGTCGGCTAGTAGTGAAGAGGCTGTAACGCCCCACTTTTATTTTACGAAAGTCAAAGGCTTTTCAAAAAGTCAACTTAAATTTTTCGAAATTCTTTTCGAAACCTTTACATAAATCAGTAGCGCTACTCGAACTAAATCACATAATAACTTAAATCACACTTGCATAAATCATAAATCATAAATCCATTGTTTTCATAAATCCCAGTTTCATTTTAATTGTTCATAAGGGAACATCTCCCAATTCAAAGTTACAAAAATTCCAAAGTCATAAATAAGCATAAATAAATCCAAGTCTACTAGCATGCGGAATAAACTAAATGAAGTCAGTCAAAGACCAACACCACTCGTCTCTGTCTCGTCAGCCAGCACCTACTTAACCTGCATCAATGAAGAGCAGGTGGAAATGAGCACGATGAACTGTTGTGCTCACTACTATGCACGTAAATAACAACATAATATAGCAAGGGTATGGTCACAGCATGATCATAAATTAATTCATCATGTCACATCTCCAATCAATACACCAATAACCTCACTCATGTGCACATCTATCATTAGCAATTGAAGGACATACAGCTCTCAACAATGGGAGTGCATACCGAAGGACATACAGCTCTCAACGGTATGGCCTATCATTAGGACATAGGGAGATTGCCACACAAGGGCACCGTCGAAGGACATACAGCTCTCAACGACGGGGACAACCGTTTGAAGGACATACAACTCACAACGAAGGTTACACAAATTCACATTCAAGCAGTGATCATACCAACCCAACAACAAATAAATTATTTACGGCATAGCAATTTAAATAAGACCCACCTGGATACCGAGATATCGCCAAACACAGGGTTGAAGGAATAATGGCAAAATTTCAGCTCGATGAACCTACAACAATTATAATAGCCTATCAACTGACTATCCAATTCAAGACAACACACAAAGCACATATACTTAGCCGAAATCATATCGACTAAGTGACTCGTGGATTCCTTGACTGAGTTAAGTACTTTGGAGCGATTACTAGACCTGGACACAACTCATATACCTCAGGTAAAACACATAAATCATGCCAACATCATTAAAATCCAATTCGAACCTAAATAACGGATAACCGAGCATTAAGACTCCAAAATAAACAAAATTTAGAATCCAGAGTTAGACTCAACCAATCAACCTGAAACTTTACCACATCACAAGGCATACAAAATCACATAATCTCACCAAGTTTCAGCCCTAAATTCAACTGGGAGCATTTTTAAATAATTAAAGCAAAAACAGTGCCAAAATCGACAGTTAATAGTTCATATAGCTACACTACGAATTTTAATCCAAAATTTTGACAAAACACAGAATACCACAAAATAACATACTAATCAATGTTTTAGCTCAAAACTCTTAGTGTATGATTTTAAATGAATTTTACAAGATTCTGATCAGAAACCGATTTAATAAATTAAAATAGCTACAGATAGAGTTTCGACTTGAAAATTTTACACGACTTACAAAATCATCACAGGACACTACATATAAAATTTTATGGCATTCCGACAATCACACGATTTATCATGAATTAATTACGATTCAGCAGCATGCTCGGTTTAGAAAATTCATAGTTCGGCATATACACATCGAAACGACCTCAAAACAAAACCAATAACTCAAGGACAACTCCAAGTACCTATCACTCCAAGATTTCCACGAAAGATATCACTCAAAACTCAGTTCGACAATAAACCAAAGTGACGGCAATCACTTTGATATCCAAATCGCATTTAAACTCAATATATGGCTCAATAAAAACATCGAAGGCACGGATTTAACTCTTAATTCCCATGATCAGCAACTTAGCAAGCAATTTAACACAATATCACAAATCACGAAATCAAAACGAGATGGGGTTCAAGCCTAGGTACCGTTCTTGGGAAGACGTTCAAATAAAAGAATCAAAACGGGGCTGAAATGGCTTCACGAATGCACCGACGGGACTCGACGGCTAAGCTTCGGCTCGCCTAAAAGTTGTGCGAGTGATCAACAGGGGGCCAGGCAGTGATGGACGGGTCCCGACAACGATGGATATCAAGGGAAGACGCACGACAATGCACGAACAACGGGAACGGAGTTCGGCTCGCGGGGCGCGCTTGTATGAAGTTCTGCGGGGCTGCCCCGGCCCGCTAAGGACATCAGAAAATGCTCGCAGAGGTGCCGACGGACAGCAGGACTTGCTGGTGGTGCTCGACCGAAACGAGGAAGCTCGACAACTTCGTTTGGCTCGCCGACGGAGCACGGTGAACGGGACAGCAACAAGGGCCCTGCTGGGGAGATGCTCACGAACAACAACACGAAGGACACGTCAGGGCTTGCCGTACGGGAACAGGGACCTGCTGGACTCGATGGCTCGCGAACAGAGGTGACGTCTGCGGATGCTGGAATTCGGTGGGACTCACGAGCAGGGACCGACAGGAGCTTCACGCGGAGGCTCGTCTGAAAACTTCAGCGACCGGTTTGCGGAGGAGCTGCTACAGGTTGCTATTATGGAGGGTTCTCGCCGGAAAGAGGAGGGCAGCGGTGCACAATGGATGCTTGCGGAGATGCTGTTGGTTCGCGGGAAGACGCAAGGGGTCGTCGGAGATGGTGGCAGCGACTGTTTCTGCTTGCGAGGACGATGATGATCGCGAGCAGAGGGAGATCGCTGCGAGGAATCTCTAGGCGCTGTGACTCGATGGAAGATGGTGACGTACGATGTGCAGTGATGGGCTGATGTCTACCTGCTATGGAGCACGACGGCGATGATCAGGTTCAATATAGAAGCGATGGGGATGGTGATGCCAATGGAGACCGGCGATTTGAGTGATGATGATGGATAAAGGTTGTTGATCGGTTTTCAAAGCTTCTGAAATTCTGATGTTGGGACCGACAAAAGAGGAAGAAGAATCTGATTTGTATATGAACCCGTGGGTTGAAGACTGATGTGAATTGATGAAATTGTACTATATGAACTATAAATTTGATAGTGGGGTTTGAAATAGTGAATGCCTGAAGGGAAATTATGTGTATGATATTACTTGGGGATTGGAATAGAAGAGATGGAATAAAATAAGCTTTCTTCCTAATTTATGGATGAGTATGCGTGTGGTGAGTTGGGGAGATCAACTCCCACGTCTGATGAAAAAAATCCCAAAGAAATCTCACCATATGGGTTTAGATATTAGTTGAATTGGTCATGCCTTAACATAAAAATTATAAGCTGCTAAAAGAGGAGATTAAGGGCTGATTTGGTTTTGGTCAGTTCTCCCCGTAAATGGACTTAGCCATACATATACATACATATATATATATATATATATATATAATCGAATAAATAAAATTTTAAGGTAAATGGATCACCAAAATTCAAATGGGGCGGCCATATGGCTGATATTTGAACCGAAAATGGACAAAATTTGGGCCGACATGAAATACTTGAGGTTCTAGTTACAATGGCTCGAAAATGAATCGAAACGGATTAAAATTAATTTACGCGATTAACTAAAAATTCGAACGGCGAACAATAACTAAAACTGAACGAGCACATATAATTGAAATACCTATCACAGATGACCTCACCACCAATAATAATAAAGCATAATAAATAAATAACATTAAAACACATAATAACAATTAGACAATTTAGACATTTAATATAAATAATAATAATAATAATAATAATAATAATAATAATAATAATAATAATAATGCAATAATACTAAATAATTCCAATAATAACACTATCACATAAATCATATAATCCAAATAATCCACATATATTCACATAAATTTGCATATTCGAACGGGGCGTTACAGAGGCATTCGAGAAACTGAAGGGGGCTATGTCAACAAACCCGGTTTTAGCTATGCCTAACTTTGAGGTGATGTTTGAAGTGCATACGGACGCTAGTGATGTGGGAATTGGAGCCGTTCTTACGCAAGAAGATCGACCATTGCTTATATGAGTAAAGCCTTGGGGGGTGTACGAGTGGGATGGTCGGTCTACGTGAAAGAGTTGCTAGCTGTGGTAGAAGCAGTTCGGGTTTGGAGGCCTTAACTTTTGGGTCGATATTTTCGAATTGTGACGGACCAACAACCTCTAAAGCTTATGTTGGAGCAACAAATAGTGACACCGGAGCAACAAAAATTTGTGTCAAAACTCATGGGGTTCGACTTTGAGATTTGTTATAGGGCGGGTTGACAAAACGCAGTGGTAGACGCATTATCTCGTCGGACGGACGTGGCGGAACCTCAAGCCATCTCGGGACCAACATGGGCTATATGGGATCAACTACGAGAGGCAAATGCTCAAGATGCCTTTTGTAATGATGTTCGTAGGAAAATGGAAGCTCAAGAGGAGGAGGTCCAAGATTATGATGTTTATGGAGGCTTGTTACTGTACAAAGGTCGGGTGTATGTACCGAAAATCGATCACTTGAGACCTGAGCTGGTACAATATTTCCATGAAGCCAAGATTGGGGGACACTCAGGAGTGTATCGAACATGGGCAAGACTATCCAATACCTTTTATTGGCCAGGGGCGAAGAATGATGTTCGGGAGTTCGTAATAAAGTGATGTTTGCCAAAGAGTGAAGTCGGATTCCCAAAAACTGGAAGGGCTTTTACAACCTTTACCGATACCCGAGAGAATTTGGGAGGACATAACAATGGACTTCATCGAAGGACTTCCAATGTCCAATGGGTTCAACGGGATCATGATGGTCGTGGACCGTCTTACTAAGTATGCACATTTCATTCCTATTACTCATCCGTATACGGCTAAATCCATAGCTAAGTTATTTATTGAGTATGTGATGAAGTTGCATGGGATGCCCCGGTCCATTGTATCGGATAGGGATCGGATATTCATGAGTAGTTTTTGGAAGGAGTTTTTCAAAATGCAGGGTACCGAGTTGGCTATGAGCTCAGCATATCATCCTCAAATGGACGGGCAAACTGAGGTAACCAGTCGCATTCTCGAACAATATCTCCGATGCTATGTTCATGAATTCCCGAGAAAATGGGAAGGATTTCTACCATGGGCTGAATTTTGGTATAATACAACGTACCATGCATCAACCAAATTCACTCCTTTCGAGTTGGTTTATGGACGAAAGGAACCCCTACTGGTGAGTTATCCGATGGGAAAATCACCGAATGATGAGGTGGATCGTGAGCTCATGGAACGAGATCTTATGATTCGGGAGCTCAAAGGAAACTTGTACGGGTCAATCAATCGGATGAAGGAGTACTATGATAAAGGAAGAAGATAGGAACGATTCGAACCGGGTGATTGGGTTTACTTGAAGCTTAGACCTTATCGCCAGCACACAATCTCTCAAAAGACTCTATTCAAGCTGGAAAGTCGTTTCTATGGCCCGTACCAAATTGTGGAACGCATGGGGGAAGTGCCTATCGACTTGATCTACCAGCCGAAGCTCAAATTCATCCGGTGCTTCATGTTTCTCAACTAAAAAGAAGCTTGGGGAAAAATCAAGGAGCTCAACCGAGGCTGCCGACAGTGAACTCCGAAGGCACTATGATCATACGTCCAATACGAGCATTGGATTATAGGAGGGTAAAAAGGGCTGGTCGCTTCCGTTGGGAAGTCTTGATTGAATGGGACCAACTTCCGGAAGAGGAATCGACTTGGGAATGTTTACACGACATGCAAATTCAATTTCCGGACTTTGTCCTTGAGGACAAGGACAATCTTCAAGGAGACGAGAATGATGCGAATGAGGGCCGCCAGCTAAAGAACGCATACAACCGGGCTCGTCGAACTAAAATGAAGTTGCAGCAGAATTTTGCAATTCCAGGGGTTAGCGGCGCTAAGGGTCCTTAGCGCCGCTAAGGTTGGGATAACAGCGCTATCTCCAGACAGAGAGTTTACGTTGTACTGCATAGAGGCCAGTAAGAGAACCTTAGCGGCGCTAAGGAACCTTAGCGCCGCTAACCACCCAGCAGGAGCAATTTTTAATTTCAGTTTTCTTTTCAATTTCTAGTGGGTTTGGGTAATTAGTAGGATCGTTTTTATAGTGTTCCTTAGCGCCGCTAACCACCCAGCAGGAGCAGTTTTTAATTTCAGTTTTATTTTCAATTTCTAGTGGGTTTGGGTAATTAGTAGGATCGTTTTTATAGTGTTCCTTAGCGCCGCTAACCACCCAGCAGGAGCAGTTTTTAATTTCAGTTTTCTTTTCAATTTCTAGTGGGTTTGGGTAATTAGTAGGATCATTTTTATAGTGTTTTTCTGACATTTTCAGACTATCTATTGTATTATTATCAAGTTCTTAAGAAAAGCTTGTTTTCAAGCATCAAATCGTGTCAAAATCGGGTGCGTTCATTCGGGTTTTGATACACTTTTATTATTAGATACACCTAGCAATCACACGTGGGAGACCCTGCCTTGTTCACGTATCACGCATATGACCCGAAAGAGCAAGCTCCCCTATCTCCCAACGCCTACACTACACATCCCTTAAAAAATCCAAATCCAAATATTCATTTAATAACCTATAAGACTAGAATCCCTATTTTATTACCTAATAAATAAATAAATAAATATATAAATAAATATAAATCGTCGCCAAAATTATACGATAATTAATCTGCAAAAACTACAAGTTTTCTTCTCAGTCGTTCAATTTAAAAAAAAAAAAAAAATTATTAAAATAATCCCACTTCTCAATAACAATATAAGCTTGTAATAAAAATAAACTATTCTGTGTATTTTTTTCCTGTAAGAAAAGAACACCAAAAAAAAAAAAATACTTGAAACTGGGTAATTAGCAAAAATAAAACCAAAAAAACACACAATACATTATACATCCAAGTCTCCCTTCCTCATATCCTTCATCATCTCCATTTCCAGAAACCTTGTAAAAATCCTTAAATTATTTGCAGGGTTTTATCAGATCATCCGTCTCGCCTTTTCATATTCGCGCGTAAGTATGCGACTAAAGTGGCGGTGAGTGAATTTCGATTATATCGCACCTCTTTTGCGTCTCAATTGACCTAATTGTACGGCGCTCTTCTTTGATTCCCCGCGAATAATTTAGCCTCCAGATGGTGTGGGAGGTGAATAATTGCTTTTCTCTAAGCTGTAATTGTGCTTTTTTTTTTTTTTTTTTTTTNNNNTTTTTATCTGATTCGAATAGATTAGTGCTTGATCAGCCGGCGGCAGATTGCCTATGAGTAAGTACAGAGAGCGAGCCCTCGAAGACCTCTGCGATGATGCTACTTTCTCGCTCTCACAGCCCCAGGCATGCTATTTCCTTGCGCCCCCTTTTTACCTAATCTATTAGGGTTCATCTATATCCTTTTTGTTTGCCTTCTTTTAATTTCCCACCTCTTTTTCGATGCTCGAATTTGTGCTGTGTTATTAAGTTCAGTCTTAAACGTGATTTATTGTTAAATATAATTGGTGACGAATTTGCAGACTTATACTAACGTGATGATTTACTCATAAAAAAACAATCATCTGATGATTTCTTGCCTGAATTTTATGTATTATTGTGGACTATAAGAGAGCTGGAAAGAGATTTTGATGCTATCATTTTGAAGTAGCTTTGTTTTACGTTTTGGAAACTTTTTGATAGGTTTTAATTTCATTGTTGCATTTTTATTTGCTTCTTAGGTCAGTGCAGTATTGAGAGGAAACTTCCAAATTCAAGGGCCAGTTGATGAGTCAAATCATGACTTGCCGACCCATATGGTGAGATTTATATGCGGGTAATAACAGCTGCTTATCTTGTTCTCTTGTCCCCTCCATTTTTCTGGCCTTTTATCATACCTGTTGAAATTTATAAAAGCTATGATGATCAGAATGAAGGATATGAAGCATAATGTGGATGACATCTCCAGGTGTTGTGAGCTAATTGGTTTGGTTGAAATTAGTATAGAAGGTTTCAGTTTTTCGGTTGTTTATTGCAGCCCCATTTCTCAGTATATAAATGAACTCGCTTTGGTGTCTGAAGTACAATAAAGAATTGAGTAAAAGAGAAGAAAAGACCTCCCAAATTATAGGAACTGCTGCTGCATTTCAATAACAATCACCTGCTATCTTTACTTTTTAATTTTATTTCATGATAGCAATGTATTCTTCCCCCTGCAACTGTTGCCTTTGCTCATGTTGATGTCACTTTTCATGTTTTCATAGATGTCATTGAACCTAATTCTGCTTACCTTGATGCAGGGAGAAATTTCTGAATTCTATTTGACTTTGTTCATATTGTTAAAACATGTGTATGTTTTGAACATTTATGTCACCAGTGCATGTCAATAACATGAACACTTTTTACTATTGTGTCTATGACTAGTCATTGAAAGAGAAGTCAGTATGCAAGTCTTTCGTCATGTTCCTCAATCTCTAATGTCAGTTTTTGCTTCCCTAATCTGGATTAAATAACAAAAGAAATAGGAAATAGTGAACACTATATATATTCTTACACTTAGTTTCTGTTGGCTTAACAGCTGCCATTTTTTGCACTAAACCACTTGCATTACTATATGCGTTCGATTGGGTAGGAATAATTTTGGAGAAAATGGACTCTGGTAATCTAGATAAGACTTAAGTGATTCTAGGCTTATGAAGGTTCCACCGTTTAGGAAATGTTCCTGAGCGCGTTATGGTTCTGGTTGTTATAAAATCTTGCTTACTAGGTTGAAGTGGTGAAGACGGGAAATCAATGGATTTTCAGTTTTAGGAGATTCATTTTAACTCGCTGTTGTCTACCTGATTTTGCCATCTATCTTTGACAAAGAGATGACCTCCCTGTTGCTGGGTGAGCCAATTACTGATCCATTCATGCTGCTTCTATGAGATCTTGTTTGCATTCACTTTCCTCTGCATCTCCACGCATTTTATCCTTGTACTTTTTTGTCTTGGCTATTTAACTAGTCAAAATTTATCCTATTATCAATAGTCACTAGTTGCTCCATTTGATGTATTAGTTTCTTATTTATTTTGTTGATTATTTAGGCAACAGCTAATATTTTCAAGGGATTGAGTATTTGTTCTGTGAGCGAAGCAGTTAGTTATAGAGGGAAGACGGGGACGTGTAATGTATGCTCTGCTCCTTGCTCATCTTGCTTTCATGTTAAAAAGGATCTAATGAAACCAAATGATGAGTCTGCTGGAGAAACCGTTGCGGAGAATATCGAGATTGAGCAGCCAAGTGTGCTGAGCACTGTGGCAGGCATGAATTCAATTTCTGATTCTTTCTGCAAAAATGCAGTTGGTAAGACATCCTTGAGAACATCAAATGGATCTGCATCAGATGATGTTGTGGTGCATTCGATATCTGATGGCCAGAGAGTTCCAGAAGGCCATGATGATTGTTTGTCAGGCATTAGCGGAACCAATGGACATCCAACTAATAAAGTTACTTCAGAGGAAAGTATGATGAAGTATAACAAGACAGGCAAAGTTAGTGGAGCGAGCTCTGCTCAGGTAACCAAAATGCCTTGCGTACTAGGAGCTTGTAGCTCAACTTGTGCTTCTGACTCTATCAGGGTGTTGCACTGGCTGATACAGGGTTCAATCCCTGTAGCTTGTCGTTGCATTTAGATCCCCTTATAATTAGAAAAAAATAATAATAATAAAACTTCCAGATTTGACAAAATTCACAAAATTCAGATACTCTGAGAAGCGCTAACGTTTCTAATGGTTTCCTGAAGGTTCGGAGTAATTTTTCTCCAGCTTCCGACGAAATATGCATATCACCCAGCCAACACCCAAGAGATCTGAAAGATGGCAAGATTTCTTCTACAAAGAGTGAACTGTTGGATGGCTCAACTGAATCCAGAGATTTGATATCGCCCAGAGGTGTAGCATTTGATGTTAGTGGAGATCCTCTCGCTGCAGCTGCCAGTCCCAGTCGAAAGAATGACCATATGGAGGTTGAAACTCAACCTGTTGATGAAATGGATGAGTCGGACATGATGGAGCAAGATGTAAGACTGTATCCTTCTTGTCTGTTGAAGATTAATCCACCTTTTAGATTAGTTTGATAATCTGGTAAATCTTCAAGTTTGTGATATTTAATTCCAACCATATTACCGTGACAAGAAATTTCTACTGTTCATGGGATCTTTCCAGCAAACGTCAATATCTCATTTGGAAATAAAATCTCAAGTATATTTTTATGTTATGCTTGGTGGATTTATTTTTGTCATGTAGTGAATATTTCTAGTCTTTATGGAATTGAACAACTTGAACTAACTGCAGTGTCATCTGGTAGATTTCATCATAATTTTTTTGGGGCATTGCCACTGTTGAGCTGAGTTTTCTTCAAATATTTAATTCCTAAGAAGTAAAGATAAGGTTGCCACTGTTGAGCTGAGTTTTCTTCAAATATTTAATTTTTAAGAAGTAAAGACGAGGTTGGATGTTCCTCGACATCCCAAATAATTTTTTAGCTCATATGTAAAGCTTTGCATAATAAATGACTCTAGATGTGGCAACAATCTCTATAGCTGCCTGTTAATATGGGTATTCATAGTTGCCATGACAGTGTTGCAGCTAGAATGGTATATGATATGTTGGGTGTGATTTCTTATAAAGTGGTTATACATTTCAAAGATTGATCGAATATTTGATGACTAAGGGTGTTATTGAATTATTCATTGGTGATTTCAAGAATAATAATTATGGTCATTGTTCATCATCATCATCATCATTATTATTATTATTATTATTGCTAAAACAAAAACTGATTGAGATTCATTGTCGGATAGGTGAAAGTTTGTGATATCTGTGGAGATGCAGGGCGAGAGGATTTGCTTGCAATCTGTTCTCGCTGCACTGATGGGGCAGAACACACGTAAGCATTCAAATGTCTCTAGAGTCTTCCACCTTAAACTTTGCATTTTTCTGCATTCACAATGATGGCAATCTATTCATCTTATCTCAGCTATTGTATGCGAGAAATGCGGACTGAAGTCCCTGAAGGTGAATGGCTGTGTGAAGAGTGCCAGGCTTTAGAGCGCGCCGTCAAGAGAAGGGAAATAAAGATTGAAAGAATGAATGAAATTGAGAAAAATAACTCTGGTCACACTACCAGTGAACACTTAAATAATTCTGATGTTGATGGACAGAAAACAAAAGGTTTGACGAGAATTTCTAGTAAAAGGCATAGAGATGATGATGATGCCGAAGTTTCTTCTTTAGTAAAGAAGCCTGCTCTTGAGTCAAAACTTGGATCACCTAGGCCCTTAAATTCTGGCAAAGTAGCTGTGCTTACTCGTGAAAATTCTGTAAAGATCTTAGATAAAGGTAGGGTGCAGCCTCAAGACATAGCCCCAGTTAATGATACCACAGAATCAGGAAGCTCTGCTTCAGACCTGAGGGTGCGGGGTTTTCGAGGTTATGTGGTGACATCTTCTTTATTGCTACTTGTGATGTTGACTAATCTTATCAGACTTCTCCATTAGTTTTTGCATGGCTGTAGTTATGTACTGGGAATATCTTAGTTTCCTTTTCTCAGATTTTCTAACAAAGGTTTTCTAATATGCAGGTACTTTCGCAAAATCTAATTCATTCAGTTCCCTGAATTCAAAACCAAAGGTCAAGCTTGTAGATCAAGCTGTTATTCAAGGACAGAAATCAGCTAAGGAAGCCAGCTCTTTTCGTCACAAGGAAGGTGTTGTCAGATCGATTGGAAAATCTATGTCATTTAAATCTACAAACTCTGGCCGTCCTGAATCAAAAGTAAAGATGTTATCTCCGAGACTTTCGCACATCCAGGACATTAAAAATACGAAACTGAGGAATTCATTTGAACATCAGCGTGCCCTCAGAACAGAACGTTCATCAGTCAGTTCAATGATGAGTACTTCTGTGAGTTCTACACCAAAAATTGATAAAAGAACGCCTTCACTTGCTACCATGGCTAATAACCATGAAACGAAGCCTGTACAGGCTGATAGCAAACCATCAACACTATCAAGATCATCCAGTCTTTCTGCTCGAAGGACTGCAGATCTAACCAGTTCTTCAGGTGCAGCATGACCCTGTGTTTTGAGTTTATTTGTGATGCATCTTCCTTTTATTTTTTTCTTTTTGTTTCATAAAAGATTCGTCATCTTTTTTTGGTGAATCAGGTGAATTCAAGAGGCCATTGGTACACGGGCATTGTACTGTTGGGGGTTCGTCTGCTAATGGGGTCAGCAGTAATGAAAACAAAGTAAATCAGACGAACTTGAAGTCGGATTCAATTTCTGCTGAAAGGTCTGCACTGAATATGGATGTAGGTATATCTGTTGGATTGCCTCGGCTTAGGGATTTAACAAATTCATGTGAGAGAATGAAGGATTGTTCTGGAAGCCGCTCTGGCCCACCATCTGCAATGCCCGCAAGAGATGAAGGTGATAATCTTAAAGCTGCCATTGAGGCTGCTGTGCTGAGGAAACCAGGTGTCTACCGGAAAAATAGAGCTGTCGGTCAATCTGATGACTCATCCATGCCAAGTTTGGGTGTTGAAGTGACCTGTCATCAAGATCCTATATCAAGTTCTGCTGCAAATAGAAAATTGTCTTCTGTTGCGGAGCTGCCTGAGGGACCTACGATTGCAAGGAATTTAATTGCCGACTCTCATAAACAGGAAAATTCCGATTGTGTGAAACAGTCTTCACTGGTTCTTGTAGAGGGCCTTCCCACTGCAGGACAAGATGGTGTCCCTAGTAGCTCTTCCAGAAGGGATGTGCTCAGTAGTATTCCACCAGGAATGCCTCTCTCTTTGAACTCCTTAGCAGTTCCCGAACATGAATATATATGGCAGTATGCACTCATCATTATCATTTCTTTTGAGTTGTAGCGTATGTACCGGTTTTGGCAGTGTGTTGTGTTTTGTGATCCCGAAATAAGTTGCTTATGTATGCATTTTATATGCAGAGGAAGTTTTTTGATTTCTCGAAGTGGTAAAAATATTAACTCATGGGATGGAATCCAAGCCCATCTATCAACATGTGCATCCCCCAAAGTTACTGAGGCTGCAAACAAGTTTAATAGCAGAATTTCACTCAATGAAGTGCCTCGCTCAAGCACCTGGCCAATACATTTTCAGGAACATGGTGTTAGAGAAGATAATATAGCTCTATTCTTTTTCGCTAAAGATCTTGACAGGTGTTTTATTACTTTTTAACATTTTATTTTTATTTTTTATTTATGTTGTCAGTTTTCTTCTGTTTTAAGAGTTGTGGTCTTATTAATGCTACAGCTACGACAAGATTTACAAGGTTTTACTAGATAATATGATGAAGAATGATCTTGCTCTGAAAGGAAATGTTGATGGCGTTGAACTGCTGATATTTCCTTCCAGCCAGCTCCCTGATAATTCTCAGCGTAAGAAAGCATTTTCAGTTTTATATGTTCAACGTGGACCTTCTTTCGCCTTTTAGGCAAGTTTGTTTTCTCTTAACTTTTTCTTGTAGACAACATCTCTTCTGATGGAAAATGAAATTTGAACTTTGCATTATGGAGCTTGATCTCTTTGCTGTTCTTAGTCTGAGGAGTTACCTGGCTTTAGCACTTTTAATGTGATATCAGCTTGATGTTATTTCTACTAAGGAAGAATATAATGTCCAAATATTCATGCCAGACATAAACAATACAGAGTTTGTGTGAGCTTGCACATTATGTAGCACACTTTACATGGTATTCCACAAATTTATTCTTTCACCAAAGTTGACAACTCGTTTCTTTGATGCTTTTATGCCGGTGGAATTATTAGCTTTTAGCTGGTGCTTTTGGTGTTGTCTCCTTTCAAGCAACAATGATGAATTTGGCATGTTTGTGCAGGGTGGAATATGTTATACTTCCTGTGGGGTGTATTCAGAGGAACGAAAGAAAGTTGCCTGCGACAGATGCCTGAATCACTGAACCAATTTTCTGCCCCTCGAAATATTCCCCCGTTCATCATGTCCTTGCCTGAGAATAGATGCTCACTCAGACCTATTCCGGAGAATCTGAATGGGAGTAAAGAGGCAGTGACTCAAGTACTTGAAATGCCTGCTTCAGAAGAATCGCAGAGATTACTGTCGTTTAGTAATAGAGACTCTGATGCCAATTTTCTTGATCGGTTGGATCACCAACTTAATTCCAGTTTGCCACCTGCGATACAAAATGATAATGCAAACCGATGCCAAGATATGACGAGAACTTCCCAGGTAATACTGTCCTTCCTCAGTTTCTTTCCCTGGTAGTATAAACATGTTTTGGTTAGGTTATTTAAGCTTATGTTTTGTTTAGATGAGGATCATTTATTGCTTTATTCTTTACATATACGAGTAATTTGTCCTTGTCAGTGAAGCAAAGGAAATCGTTGTGGGTACTGCAGCTGCAATAATAGTTAATTGTTTTGCATCATGCTCATGTTCAGCTACATTAAGTTCAAAGTTTTTTTGATGTATTGTAGCAAAAACTACATTTCTTATCTGTTGATTTATTGTTGTTATTTACTATTATTATTACTGGTCTTATAGTTACGTATACATTTGCCATCCCTTGCTTTTAGTCTATCTGTTGCCAAGTTTTTTCTTGCTATACTACTGTCGAGACTTGGTTATCATTATGATTTTTCATCAGCTATTGGTGGTGATGTCTCTCATTTTCTTATTTTTTATTTTTTGTTCCTTGGGTTATTCCCTCTTTGCAATTTACTGCTATATTTTTTGTAAGCAAGGCTACTTTGGCATGTAATCCATATGTTCAGTGGTAGTTCTGTGCCTTTTCGCTGACAAGAATTGAAGGGAGTGTTTGGTTATTCATAAGAATATGCGTGTATGTTTTCCTCCGATTCTGAACAGCTTTGCGAGAGTAGAGTACTCCCTCGTTGTTTCCAAGTATATACTCATCACTGACTTACTTCTGTCTATCGTGGCATTTCGTCCATTTTCTTTTTTGTTCTGGACAATTTTCTACGTCCTTTTTTTGCCCCAAGAGAGTAACTTAGTCTATCAGATATCAGAAGGGTAGCAGCAAAAATTTGAATGGACATGGCCCAAAATGGGCTTAAATGCAAAGCTTTTCACGACGTAGTCGTTTTTTCTTTCATTTTTTAAAGAATTGTTGCATCTGTAGCCTTTCCCTAGTTAGATGCATATGCCCACTGTCACTGATGTTGCTGCAAAATTCAATATTCATGTGCCTTGTTGAGCTTTTATCCGCTATATCCGAGGGAGTTTTACTTCTTTCAAGCTTGATTGTTATGATGCTGCTGTGCTGAGAGCTTATATATAATTGTTGCATTTGTTTTGCGTTCTGAGAACACACAATAATTTATGCCTGTAGGAAAGAGACGAAAGTTCCAGCTGTAGTCCTCACCACCATGGTACGGAAAATGTTTGTTCTCCTCAAAAGCAGCTAGAGCAATTGGACACTCCAGTTGATAGACATGAGCTCCCTAAATCTGTGGATGGTCCACCAGAGGAATTCATAAGTGAAGCTTGTATGCCGGATAAGGTGGATGAAGTGAGATCACCGGCTAGACTGGCCGAATCGGAATCTGTTTTGAAGGATCACCATCGGGACACGAGAGATATGAACATGGAGAAGCAGCACGAGAGATGGATGTTTAACCACAACGAATATATGCTACCAGGGCCATCGTCAGCACCCGTGGTGCCTCCAACCCTTTTTGGCGGGGCAACTCGGGTGCTGCCAGGCAGCGATGCTGGTAATGATATACATCAAAAAGTAAGTGAGGAAATATTTTTATTTATTTGAGTTGGTTACAATAAGTACACTAATTGCAGAAAAATAAAGATACCCCTGAGATTATATTGTCTCACATTTGGCCACTTAATAAATATAAATATTATTATTAACAACCCCTGTTTTTAAATTTCTAATAATAGTAAATTTAGCCATTTAATTTATTACTGAACCAGACATGAGGAGATTTTCATAAATTTGAAAGTTCACTGTTTCGGTTTTCTGGTTAAAGAAATCTTATCAGAGCCTTCATTTTTTTTTATTTGTTATAGACGAATAATCACCACAATTTCATTCTCGACCAAACTGCTGCTGCTGCTGCTGCTGAGAGACGCTTCTTTCCGACTGCCGAATCACAATTGCCGTGGAAACTGCATAATCACCATCATCATCTGGTGGAACAAGAAGATAGGCTTAGTGATAGATTAGCACCACCTGATCTCGAGCTTGCTTTAGGGGCTTCTGATAGAAAGTCACCACCACCTGCCGCCATTATTCAGTCATATGATTTAGTGAGAATGGGAAGCAAAGCAGTAGTAAACGATATCAAAGTAAATGAGGATGAAGGTGATGGGGCAGGTGGGGCAGAGGTAGAGGTAGAGGATGATGTGGCGGCAGCACTTTCCCTATCACTCTCTTTCCCGTTCCCCGACAAGGAAATGACCTCAAAATCAAAGACAGAGAGAACGTGTCAACAAGACTTGAATGCTTCTCTTTGGAAATTTGGGAGATGATTAGTTTGGTCACAGTTGTTGAAGCTAGTGAGTAGCCCTTTTCATTATATTAGGTAGGATCTTCGTGTTATGATATGATGATATATTCTGCTTGGAACTGAAATCATACATATGTGATACCCATCAACCGTCGGGATTGATCTGATCTCTATAATTTTTCCAGGTTGGTTACTTTTTCTGTTTGTCCTCAACGGCTTGATGTATATATGCAAAGAGTATAGTAGCCGGGACTCTGTGTGATATGAATAATTTTTTTGTTAGCCGTATCTCCATTGTTCCTTTACTCGTTTTTTTTTTTCTCTTTTCGGATTTTTATGGTATTGCTGATTTGTTTGTGGTTAAGGTGCCTTGTGTGTGGACATTTTTTTTTTTTTTTTTCATGTTTGATCAAATTCTACATTTTGATCAGGGTGCAAAACCAATTTTGATGGAAATATGTCTAGTAAATAAATGAGCAAAATCAGTTATGATCAATTAACACACTTTTCTTTCATTATTCAGATCAGTCATTGGGAACACAATGAAGAGCAAAGATATGTTTGCTATATTTTTCCACATTATTGTGGACAGTTATTGTGACTCTACCTAAAACACTCTATTTATTTATACTAATGCTTAAATCATTTATCATATTCTTTCAACTTCTATCCCCTTTTTATGTGATTGATTAGGAGAGATAAATGAAAATATGCTTATAATAATTCATTTAATTCCTTAATTCGCAGACTTTGTACGTTTTTAATAGAGATAGATAAAAACATGTATTGTAATTCACGCAGCTGTCCAGTGGGTATATATTGCGTTTATGTTAGTATATATTAAGTATTTGTTGCAATGAAAAGCATGTCTTCAATAAAAAAATTATGTATTTTTATTTTTTTCTTTAAGTTTAACGTTCATTGAAAAACATATCTTCTATAAAAAAAAATTATGTCTTTTGTAATAAACACATGTATTGTAATTCACGCAGCCGTCATGTGGTATATATTGTGTTTATGTTAGTATATATTCAATATATGTTGCAATGAAAAATATATCTTCCATAAAAAAATTATGTGTTCCTTTTTTTTTTTTTTACTTTTATACATAAAA